GACAGGCAGCTCAAAACAAAACAGCCTCTAGAAGTTTAAATATCCTGTGAAGCTGGGGTGTCAGGAGATGCATAGCAGTCTGTAACCCACTGGCAGGCACCGCCATTCACTTGATGGATACAGCCTCGTTACTCAAACTGTATTTTCAACATGTCGTTTGTTCTTAATGAATAAAATGTATATTTCATATCTAACTGCAATGCTGACAAATACTGTTTCTACTCCTTCAAAGCCAGTCTGAAAGATTGCCTGTACGTTTTAGTGTCCTGATCCAAAGGCTGAGTAACATTGTGGCACAATAAGCATTTCTGTCACTGTCAGAGTCAATGTGCCCAGTATCTTGCAGCCGTGTTTTATCCATGTGCCACACAACCACTCATTTTTATCTTAGTGAATGAGACTGAGAAATACAAAAGGTGCTGAAGTGAGGCTCTTTGTCCTTTCAAGAGATAAATTCATTTTATGAGTCTCTAAAGCCAGCATTGCCTTCACAAGATTTCAGTCCTCTGTTTGACGTGATGTGGAATCAATCTTTCTGTTAAGCTTAAGATGTATAAAGCTGTTCTTCTATGCTCTATCAACATCATGCAAGAAAACCCAACCATTTGCATCTCAATTGTCTTCAGAAAATTCTCAACAGCAAATGACAGGATAAAGTACCTGACACTGAAGTCTTGGAGCAAACACAGCCACGCATTTTTACAGCCTTGAAACAACAACAATTTCATGGGATGCCCATGTCAACAGATATCAGATGACCATCTTCCAAAACATATCTTCTACTGAAAGCTTGTTGCTGGTGCTCAATTGGGGAGTGAACCAATGAAACAATTCAAGTACAACCTGGAGAGAATATTGATCGTGTCAACCAAGAAGTGCTCACTCAAAGCCAAGACATCTGAAGTGTTGTCTACCAAGAGGGCAAAGAACTCAAAATAAAAAGAATCAAAGATACATAAAAGAAACGAGAAGTGAGAAAACTAAGATGTAACTTGGTGGGTGCTTTGCCGGACAGGATGGAGGGCCATTTCCCTGCCCTGAATGGGGTTACACGCCCCCTAAGGGACAGGGTCCGCAGCTTGGGGGTGCTCCTGGACCCCAGTCTAACTCTGGAAGCCCAGGTGGCCTCGGTGGCCAGGGGTGCCTTCCTTCAGCTGCGGAAATTATACCAGCTACGGCCCTACCTGGACGAGCGGAGTCTCATGACAGTTACACACGCACTGGTAACATCTTGCATAGATTACTGCAATGCACTCTATGTGGGGCTGCCTTTGAAGATGGTCCGGCGACTGCAACTGATCCAGAATCGAGCTGCAAGGCTGGTGAGTAGTGCAGCCACTAGGGAACATACCAAGCTGATTCTGTTTAAATTACATTGGCTCCCAGTTGCTGCCCGGGCCCAATTCAAAGTGCGTGTTTTGACATATAAAGCCCTAAACGGCTTGGGCCCTGGATACCTGAAAGACCACCTTCTTCCATGTGAACGTACCTAGCAGTTAAGATCTAGCCATCCCTCAAGGAGGTAAGAGGGACGGCTTGTAGACAAACGGCCTTTTTGGCAGCTGCCCCCAGACTATGGAACGCCATCCCAATTAAGACTCATCTGGTGCCGATGCTGATGACATTTCGGCACCAGGTCAAAACCTTCCTGTTCTAGGCTTTTAACTGAAATAATATTAACTGTGGGTCCTGAAGGGAATTTGTACAGTATATGTTTTAATTATATTTTAATTATCTTTTTTACTGTATTTTAATTGTTGTAATTAAGAAACCTTTGGGTAGTGTGGGCGGCATGTAAGTTAAACTTCTCAATAGCCCAACAAGCCCAGGATCAGCTAACCTGCATGCCCATCAATATGCTACTGCTCAACTTTAACACTTCTCTTTTTCCCTAAATGGAGAATGTGATGGAGATGGTAATCAAAAACAAAGGATGAATTATTATCATAAACTCACTCTAACTGAAATGAAATTTCAAGTGTACAGTACAGATTCTAGACTTCTTCCACTTTATTTTAATATATTAAGATTGAATACAATTCTTTCCGTCAATGATCTCTATATTTAAAAGATATACAAAAGACACCAGTCAACCAGGTCACTTAGTGCTCCAAAAAACCATGTCATAGCAACAGACAGAACTATCGTTGGCCTCCAGATCATACTGTATTACAATTTTTTTACCATTCCTAGGCATTGTATGTGGGAGCTGGAACGGATGAAAACTGCAGTCCAACAACATCTATAGGGCCACTGGTCTCATTTCTCCAGCTATACCATCCATTTTTAAAAAATGTAAAAGGCAGAGCCTATCGTTTGGAGGTGAGGCTAAAGTCTACTAAAATAGCACTAAGATGTCCAGGAGGACTGGTCCCACAAGTTGTACCATCAGTGCTGTTCAGCTGAGCATTTTTTCATGTGCCTTCAATGTTGCAAAAAAAAAAAAGTGGGGAGAAGGGGACACAATTCATGTGTGGGATAAGATTCCAAGGCTCCTGTGACCAATGTTCAGAAGTAATTATCACTCCTTTAGGACCACCTCTGTGTTGCTTCCAAAGATGAAGTAACAGAAGTGAGGCATATTCTGAAAAACATGTTTGATCAAGTACTTTTTCTGAGTAGCCTGCTTTTTATTTAATTGATTTTGAGTCTCAGCCTGCAGCTATAGTCTTAGCTACAAATTCAAGCGCATAAGAAAAGTTCCAAGACTGATAACTGCTCATCATTTCATTCAACTGATCCAGTGTTTGTGGTGGTCCATGCCTGCTTGGTTGGCAGCTTGTTGGCCTCATAGCTGGAAACCTTCGTTCCCTTAGCTCTTTTTGTATTGTCTGATGTAGCCACAAATTGAACCAATAATTTCCTCACTGGTCTTGTTTTGTCCAAAATATTCAACAAATTCGCCTTCTGGCCCAACAAGATACATTATGATGGTGTGATCTACCTGCAAGAAAACACAATATGCAAACTGTTGGTAAAATCTGGGTGGAGGACACTACTCTCTAGAATAATTCTGCTCCTCAAACAATCATTTCAAATCTAGATTTCTTCATAAAGCCAGGGTTTGGGTAGACAGCCCAGAAATGCCTCAAATATGGTGGCTGTTTAGCAAATGTGAGAACAAAACAAAAAACACAATACCAAACACACCCCATGAGAAAACAATAATCCAATGAAAGTCTGCACATGAATCCTCCTGAGCCAAAACTTTGATAGGTAACTTAGTTACATGCAACTGGCAGTAAATGACTGGCAGTAAATAATATAGCTATAAAGTTATTTTTGGATGTAATAAGTTACTCTTAGTTTCAAATGGTACTTTAAAAGGGCATTTTAAACATTTGTACAGTGGTGCCTCGCTTTACAATTGCCCCGCATTACGACGAATCTGCTTTACGACGATCTTTTTGCGATCGCAAAATGATGGTCTAAATGGGGAAATTTCGCTTTGCGATGATCGGTTCCCTGCTTCAGGAACCGATTCTTCACAAAACAATGATTTTTCAACAGCTGATCGGCGGTTTCAAAATGGCCGCCGGGTAAATAAAATGGCTCCCCACTGTGTATAGTGACGGATTCCTCGCTATACAGGCAGCGAAAATGGCCGCCATATGGAGGATCTTTGCTGGACAGTGAGTTTTAAGCCCATTGGAACACACTGAAAGGTTTTCAATGCGTTTCAATGGCCTTTTTATTTTTGCTTTACGATGTTTTCGCTTAACGGCGATTTTCCTGGAATGGATTATCGCCCTTAAGTGAGGCACCACTGTAGAGGCATTTTCACAGGAATTTTTCAGCTTTCATGCACTTCCCTTACCAATCCAGGTGCAGTATTTTATATGTATTTCCAGATGTCATAGTATAATTGGCCACAAGAGGGAATGAGAGAGTATTCTCCTGCATTTGTGCAGCACAATAGGACTTCAGTCATTACAAAATGAGAGTGACAACTTCGCTGCAGAGGTATTGCAGTGAATAAATTCAAGGGGTTCCTTTCACAATGCAAAGTCCCAACCTCTGTCCAGAGATAGCCTTTTGAGAAGGCATTGTGATGAAGAAAGAGGGCCACCTCTGCAAACCAAGCTTTCTGTGAATATTAATAGCAAGCTAGAAATTTCTAGGTATGGAGAACACTAATTCTGAAGCTCAGCATCCTCCATAACCTGCACAACACCTGTACAAGCAACACGTTGCCTGAACCTATCTCCTTTCCCATTACTATACTTCAGTTTTGTCTTTTGATAAAAGAGTGACTCAGAACAAACTCTCTTTGTGGCATTTTCTTGTTTGTCTCCTTTATACTGGGAATTGCCATAAGGAAAAATAAGTGTCCTTCCCACTGGAAATCCATGACCACTCAATGGAATCTCCCTGGGAAGGAGAATTATGCCAGAACCCCTTTTTGGCCTCCTGTTTCTGACAGAAGGCTCAGAAAGACTCAGTACCTATTTCATGACTTACCAGTCATGGAATGGGTACTCAAAATGATACCTGAAAGTAAAAATACAAAAGAATGCTTGCTGAATCCCTCATTCCCATCCATGCAGTCTGCCTGAACTCAGTGAACTCTTGTTCTGCACAAAACAAGCAACCTTTCTGCTGGAAGAGCAAAGCAGGCAGAGAGAGCACCCAGAAGGATGGGCTGACCGCTCCTAATCTTTTTTAAAAACAATATTTCTGGTGCTTCTAATCCTTAAAAGGCCAAACAAGGAAACAGCGGCCCTCATGGTTTTGTGCAACTTGTTTCAAAGCATCATTCATGCTTAATTTGTGTCCAAAAAAATTAGTCTCCCTCCTACTGTTGAGAGTCTTGCAAAATGTCTTGCTCTCTCACTGGATGAAGGCTATGCTTTTGCAGGCCTTCATTCTCATGTGCAAAGTTACAAGAAACAAAGATTTAGGTTCATGGTGTAGAGGTGCCACTTTAAATGTGCCCCTCAGTTTCAAAAGGAGATATAGACACCATACTTTGAGATGTGAAGAAGAATGAGAAGGCCCTTCAGGCCTTACTTTCAATCCACAGATGACATGACAAGATTCACATAATGTCAGTTCCAAGGCGTTTTTTTAAATGCTATTGTATCAACTTGTTATTCTGCTCATCTTTTTGAAAGTAAAATCAGCACAAACTGGCATTTTGAAAGGTTTTTTAATCAAGGTGAGTAAAAGTGCTGTTTGAAACAGCCCAGACTAGCCAAATACAGCACAAGAATAAGGCATTTCTCATTTGCTGTATGCCTCCCTCTCCTGGCTAAATTATGTCAATGCTTGCTAGCCTTAACCTGTATAAAATACATCTCCACAGTGAGGTGGTATCTTCATTATAATCAATTGTAAATTCAGAAAATATGCCAGTTTGGATTCTCCAGAATTATTCTTCAGAACAGATGATAAAAATCAGTTGAAGACTTTGGCTTGGCATATTAATCTATGGGGATCTACAATAAAATGCAGTCCCAAAATGCAAAGTAGTCAGAGTCATGCAGCTATCACAACACCTCAGACAAAACCCTGTGGAAAAAAGACAATATGGAGATTCCCTTTCCCTGCAAACATAAAACAGTAACTCTGGTATCTGCATCTAGCTTTAGGTGAGGCACACACTTCTTTGGTGGTATAAAGAAGCCTCATAGAAATCCTTCCAGTAAGATAAAACTAAAGTACCTCCTATATTGCCTCCCATGACCATCATCTGCTTATTACATTTAATACCCTCCTCCATCTTGAGCTACTTAATTAATCTTTCTGAGGAACACCCTTCACCCTTCAACCCAACTACCCTCTACTCCCCAGAACCCTTCTGAATTTTCATTATCTGCAAGCATTTTTATACTCTCTTCCTGGTCCTCTGATAGCTTCTTAAGCAGAACCTTATTGAAGCAATTCCACTTAAACCTCCCTCATCTACTTCTAACAAAGCCACATTTAAATATCCTCTCTCTTTTTTCTTTTTCTTTTTGCACAGCCAGCTTGTTTCAATAGAGCGCTTCCCAGCCTCATAGTTCTAAACGATAATTGGAAAGAGACCATACTCACTATGTAATCATTATCTTCATCTTTTGGACCAGAGCTGTAATAGACACGATAGACACGAGCCACCTGATCAATTTGTTCTTTTGTACCCGTCAATCCAATCAACTTGGGTGAAAACTCTTAGAACAAAACAGAGTCAGTTAAGTCAGACTGCATTAAAGAAACAGACCCAGGTAAGGCCTGCCCACTGTTACAAAAGCTAAATTTTAGTCAGGGTTTTGGAGTAAAAAGAAGCCAGCGCAGTGCCAATTAAGAAAAGAGGCCAATGTTGTTACCTTTAATATATGCAGCAATAGCTTCTTTAGTGTCCCTCTCTGGATCAATGGTGATGAAGAGCGGGGTGATGTTCGGCAGAGATGGGATTTCATCTATCACCACAAAGCATGACAATTAACATCATAATCAGACCCAAGATTTCAGTTTAGCGTTCAGGCTCTATTACCCTGTATAGCCTATTTCTCCAACTTCCATATCTTATGCTCAAATAATCATTCTTCCAACAAATCAAGGTGATAAGCAATGCAAAACCTTTAATTTACATTTGATCAGGAGAGCATGGGTGTGGAAGACAGTTAAGGCACAACATTATAGAAAGATACCATTATGGGTAGCTCCCTTAGAAGCGTTATCTGATCTGACAAGAACAGCTCAAGGGAGAAACGGGAGATATGCCAAGATATTAGATGGTGATTTTAATCTAAAGAACAAAGATGAACCGGCAGAACAAGGTATTATCTTAGAATAGTGGTCGATAAACTTGATGAAATCAAGATACATAAAAGATAAAGCTACAGAGTTTCAGAAAGACAAAACACCTTTGGATAATGGGTTGCCGAGGAAAAACTGATGTAAGGCTTATATTGTATAATACTTTAATGGAGCAAAAAATTGAAGATGAAATTGTAAAGGATTGCATGGTAAAATGGGCTCAAAATATAGGTCATAATATAGAACTAAGTGCCTGGTCACAAATTTGGGAACAAAATAGTAAAATGACTACATCTATAAATCTAAAAGAAAATATATACAAAATGTTTTACAGATGGTATGTAACACCAGAGAAATTAACAAAAATGTATGTTGGAAATGTGAAAAGAAAGTAGGGAGCTTCTATCATATGTGGTGGATGTGCAGTAGGGCCAAGGACTTTTGGGAAATGATTCTTGAAATGATAGAGAAAATTTTAAGGGTTAAAATTGCTTTGACACCAGAAATTCTTATTGAATATATTACCACTTCCACTCGAAAAAACCAAGACTTACTTGACCTTACACCTGAGAACTGCAGCTAGAATTGTATATGCCAGTAAGTGTAAGACTACAAAGGTGCTGACAAAGAAGGAATTTATTGAGAAGATTTTGGAACTAGCAGAAATGGATATTTTGACAGATACAGTAAATGGTAGACTGGATAATAATAAATGGGAACCTCTTTATACCTGGATGAACTCTACACCATTTAAGCAGAATAGATTAGATTAATATTATGTTAGAGAGTATAAGACAAGATGAAATGAAGGGAACACATTGTAATAAATCACTTTGGTTGCAACGGATAGAAAGGTAGAAAAAATACAATATGTTTATTTTAAAAAAGAATCAAAAAAGGGAGAAAAAATATTTAAATGTTCTTTTTATTTGTTCTACAGTGGTGCCTCGCTTAGCGATTGCCTCGTTTAACAATGTACTCGCTTAGCGATTAGGTTTTTGGAGCGATCTTGTGCTCCGTTTAGCAATGTTTCCAATGGGGAAATTTTGCATAGCGATGTTCGGGACCTTGCTTTGCTTAGCGGTGACAATTTAGGTCCCCGTTTCGCTTAGCGATGTCTGTTTTCGCTATTTTTAAAGTGTCTTAAAATGTTCAAAAACTGTTTAAAATGCTTGGAATCATTAGTGCACCCTGTAAAACATTTGCAAACTTAATTTGGCTTTGTTCTGAGTCTTCGTTAATTTTTGGTGAATTTTCCCACCCCTATTGGAATGCATTGAACTGCAGGTTTGACAGCTGTCCATGGATTATCTGGTTTTCAATGCATCTCTATGGGAAAACACGTTTTGCTTAGCGATGTTTTCCCATAGCAGTTTTTTCTGGAACCAATTAAAATCATTAAGCGAGGCACCACTATACATGCTGCCCATTCGTCCTCCACCCTTGTTCATTCTTCAGTGGTATACTGCCTCTGGAAAGAGAGGCTTTTTGAATAAAATATTGAATTAGAGGCAAAGAGGGAATTGGCTGAGGGACGGGAGCCCGGCTGGCGAGACCATTACGAACTCAAGTTGACAATTTGAGATCGATCTTTCCACGGTACACGGGAGCACTGCATGCCTTTAACTTGCCTTGTCATTTGAATTTTTTGAATAAATGTTTGCCTTAAAACATAAAAAAAAATAAAAATGCCATGTCATGTGCATTGCCAGGAAACAGCCCCTGACTCTAGACAGGAGATTTCAGTTGTATACCAATGGCTGATCTAGCAATTATTCTAACAAACAGAAGAATTACTTTCAGGATAATACAGGCTACAACGTGGTTTACTTACCAATTCCATTCACTACTTCAATCATTTTCTCCAGTTCTTCTGGACAAATATCAGGGCAGTGTGTAAAACCAAAGTAGATTAACACCCACTGTCCCAGGAAGTCCTGATCTGTCTTGGGCTCTCCATGGTGATCAACAAGTGAAAAATGCCCTCCCAGCAATGGCTTTCCAATAGATTTCATCCGTCCCTTCTCCAACTCTGAAATTCAAACACAGTGGAAGATTATGTGGCTAGAACATTCCCAAGAAACCTGCAGCCACATGCTTCTGCCTCTCTCCATCCTCTCTTCTCTCCCATCTCCAACAGAATTTAGATTATACATCTCATTGAAACTGAAAACTGAATGAACATTGTTATCTTGTGTTCTGGGTAACCCCATGTACACCAGGTAGCCCAGGGACCATTTCTTTGCTTTCCCCAAGAATTTGGGTGCCTCACTCCAACCCCCCAAAAGAAATCACACCCCAAATGGCAAATTGTGCCTCTAAAATATAGGTAGCAGGATTTGGCATTTAAATGCAATTTTGAATCTCTGTTGTTGACCAGAAAGTTTTTTTTTTCCAGAAAAAGTAAGCGATTTGCCAGTGAGGTCACACTGGGGATAACAGACCACAATTTGCTTTCTCAGGATGTACAGTGAAAGTGCTTCTTTAGCTACAGTACCATTTTCCACTCTGATCTGCCTGTACCTGCATATGCCAGAATGAGACTGCCATAACTGCCAGACAGCAGAGCTAATGGCCATTTTGGCTGGGGACAATGAAAACTGTACTCCACCATAAGTTATCATATTGGGAACAGCTGAACTATAGACACAATGTCTCAAATCCTATCAAATAAAGTACACTGGCTCGAAAGAGATGTCATCACCCAGTGGAGAAAACTGCTGGCAACTAAAGAATTCCTGCTTCAATTCTAAAGCCTACATGGCCTGTGTGCAATCAGTCTTATTGTGCATGACCCATGCAAGTCCCAAGACAGAAGCAGAAGCTCTTTAATTGCTGGCAATTTCCTCTGCTGCTTTATGTCATCTCCTTTATGCCACTGTACTTTGCTCAACAAAGTTTTGGCCATAATGGCAAAGACTGGCATCTCAGAAAAAATGTAAGTGTGAGACCCGAGGCGAGGCTATAGAAGCGCTCGCCGCTGTGTCGTCCTCCTTTAAGAGAGAAAAGGAGACCCAAACGGATTCTACAGCTACCTGCGTCGCGGTCAGGCACCAGGGTATAGACACCTGTGACTTGAAACAGGGTTTGACAAGACTGTCGGTGGCCACCCAGACAGGGCTAGAAAAGGCGTTGGCAGAGGCAGGACATGGCGATATAAAAGGAGAGCGGGACAACATACCAGGGGGTTGGGAATTAATATGGGTGGAGGATCCCTGGACAGGGAGATGTGAGAAGGTTAGAGTGCCTCGAGAGGAGGTTGATTATAGGCGTAGAAGGGGGTTACCCCCTAAACCGTCTTATTGGGGGGAATTCAAAGCCAGAGAGTGGCGGAGGCACTTGAGGGAAGAGAAGGAGGCGGTGGAAAGGGAGGAACGAAAAAGAAGAGCATGGCGTCTGGAGGAGGCTCACCGGAGGAGGTATTTACCGGACCCTGGGACCCCTATGCAGAGGGAAACAAACCCTATGGCCATGAGAGGGGAGATGAAGAGACACTACCCCTGATTGACGTGGACATTGATACTAAGGACGCCTCCATTCCTTTGTTTCAGTTTCTCCCCAATACGAGGGTTGGGGTTTCAAACCTTGGCGTCTTCACCTCTCAGCCTCCTCGTGGGGCACCTTCACCTGCTCCCACTTCCCGGTCCAGGGATCTTCGATCCAGATCAACTCTTTTACAAGATTTATGGACACCCTCAGTTTAATGTTGATACTTCTTTATATGATGTTCCAATAAACCCCAGTTCTGTTTTTCAAAAAACTGAACATCCTGTATTTGTGTCCAACAAGTCTGAGATTACTCGTGGACCCTCGCAGTAAGAGACAAAGAAAGGCTGAGGATTACAGGAAGAAGCAATGTTGCAAAATAATAACTATGAAAGATGGTTATTAAGAGCTCACCAAATGGTTGCAAAATAAAAACAAACAACCTAAATAGACTTCAACATTCAGGTATATGCACTAGGCTTCAGAAGTTTTATTCCACAAAACTTTAATTTTATGTGAACTATACTAAAGCAGTTAAAATTCTGAAAAAAACAATTCAGCATCTGTCAAAAGTCCACACAGATAAAGCTTCAACTATTCCAATGTTATTCTTGCCCCTCTGTTATCACCCCTTTACCCAAAGACTTTAGCATACACTTTGGCACATATTTGAAACTGCATTAGTTGTGAATTTGTTTTAATCCAATAATTTATTTAATACTGTCCTACTGTTTTGAAGTATAGTTTTCTTTTTTTGAACTGAATCTTTCTTTTTTAAACATACATTGCAAGCTGCCTTAGGTAACACAAGGGAGATATGCAGGATAAAAAGTAAGAAATAAATAAGCAGTGACTGGAACTCTATTAGTTACACTTGCTAGGGTAACATCAGCAGAATTAACAGTGAACTACTGCAAGTTAAGAAGTCAGCATAGGTATTTTTTGTTGTTCACCAATTGTGTCACCCTGGGTACATCAGAAGCTTCCTCCTCTGACTTCTTATCTTGCAATATTACAAGGCTGGCAGCAATGTAGACTAGGACTCTGGTCAGTGAAAAGATTGGCTAAAGAAAGAAAGTAGCTAAAAGGTCAGAAAAAATTTGTCTTTTTATTTATTTATTATTTATTCTATTTATATCCCACCTATCTGGTAACATGACCACTCTCATGCAAGAAAGAAACCCCCAAGGTCCAATGCTTCTAGCACACGCTGGTAAAGAACTCTATAAACCAGACCTGGGCATCATCATCATCATCATCATCATCATCATCATACTTTATTACGATCAACAGATCAGATGTGAATAACATAGAACAACTGCATAAGAATAAACAGTATCAATGCAAATAAATCAAATAAATAAATAAATAAAATAAACTGTAA